AGAAGAACCTCAATTGGCTACATGCTCCCACACTGTTATTCAAATTGCGATAACCACCGTATATATTTTGCAATAAAAAACTTATCTCATTTTTTTTGCTATAATGACAATTAAATATCTGCAATAAAAAATTTATAGCTAAATTTTGCAATAAAGTATCACATTTTTGCGATAATGACTACAAAGAAAATGCAATAAAAAGTTATCGCAGAAAAAAATGTGATAAAAGTTACTACAAAACGCTCTATTATCGCAAAAATTATGGGGTGGTTATTGCAAAAAAAGTGCAATGACAAAATTGACGCACTCCAGGATGCGATAAATCGTGGGAATCGCAAACTCGGTTTTATCGCAAAAATTTGTAGTAAAAGTATCGCAAAATGAATGACAGTGCACTCGCAGTATGACCAGCGCGTCGTATTACAGCCGCCACATCCTGGCCGGCACGCTACGCTGAGACAGCGACCAGCTTATCGCTGCGACGCGCCGCGCCGGTACCCAGCCGGCCGCGCCGCGTGCCAAGCTTCCCGGCAGGCGCGGCACAGTGGGCCAGAAGACCGGTGGAGGCGGCCAAAACCCCGGACGCGTTTTGAGCTCCAGAGTCGCTAAACAGGACTCGAACAGAACGTGTGACCCCACCAATGAATTGCTCTCCGAACGAAGAATCCATTGGTGGGGTCACACGTTTGGTTCGAATCCCATTTAGCGACTCTGGAACTTGAAACGCGTCTAGACTTTCGGCCGCCTCCACCGGTCTTCCTGGCAAAGTACGTAATGTTTCCGATAAGTTGCTCTTCGCAACTTTGCCTTTTATTTTCGTTCCGTTTGGCCTATTTGATGAGTAGGCCGGAGCAAACATGGCCGAAGTCTCGTTGTCCGTGCAAGCACTTAGTTTTTGTTGCGCGACGCCTTCACGGCGTGAAGACCCGTGCTGCGCACAGGTACGCACGGTGCAATGGCAGACAGACACCTTGTTCTTGTGCTTTTGTGTCGTATTGTCACACCCCGTGTCACACCCAGGTGTCGCGCTGCCTGAGGTGGTCGTCCCTTCCGGGAAACAAAAGGGAGCATTGGTTCCCCTCCACGACGCACAGTGGGCCAGAAGACCGGTGGAGGCAGCCAAAACTCTGGACGCGTTTTGAGCTCCAGAGTCGCTAAATAGGGCTTGAGTCGAACGTGTGACCCCACCAATGGATTGCTCCCCGACCGAGGAATCCATTGGTGGGGTCACACGCTCGGTTGGAGTCCTTTTAGTGACTCGGGAGCTCACAACGCATCTAGGGTTTTGGCCGCTGGCGCCGGTCTTCTGGCCCACTGTGCGATGGGTGGTCGTTCCTTTTGGCCGAGACGGACGGGTCTAGGCGGCGCCGTGCCGTCGTCAGGTGTTCCAGTGATTTAGCGCGCCGAGGGTGGACTTGATTTCCATGCTAATTCGGCTAGGGAGTGATGAATGCAATCTCACTTGGGACTCGGTGCAAGCCCCGGCCCGAAGCCTGGCTCAGTCTGTCCGCCGCGCACAGTGGGCCAGAAGACCGGTGGAGGCGGTCAAAATCCCCGACGCGTTTTGAGCTCCAGAGTCGCTAAATGGAACTCGAACCGAACGTGTGACCCCACCAATGAATTGCTCTCCGAACGAGGAATCCATTGGTGGGGTCACGCGTTCGGTTCGAGTCCTGTTCAGTGACTCTGGAGCTCAAAACACGTCTGGAGTTTTGGCCGCCTCCACCGGTCTTCTGGCCCACTGAGCGGCACGCTCCGCAGAGCGGTGAGTGCGGGCAGCGGAATCGGACTGTACTGGGGCTGGAAGGGCGCTGGAGTCAGCTGCTGCCGAGGCTGACGCACCTGCTGGCCGCACCTGTCGCCCACGCGTGCCCGGCAGGCATGCCTGGGCCCTGCCGTGCCGTGCCATGCCGTACCTGGCAGGCAGGGCGTGCCGCCTGCAGGGTGGCCGCCGCCCGGCCGGACAGACGGAGCAGCCGGCCGGCGCGCTGGCGGGGCCCAAACTGGAACAGACGCAGGAAGGTAGGCAACAAGTCCCAACTCGAGCCGAACGTGTGACCCCACCAATGGATTCCTCGTTCGGAGAGCAATCCATTGGTGGGGTCACACGTTCGGTTCGAGTCCCATTTAGCGACTCTGGAGCTCAAAACGCCTCCACCGGTCTTCTGGCCCACTGCGGGGAAACCCGCTGGAATAGCGCATCCCCCGGCAGGGCACGCGCGTGGCGTGGCGGCCCACGTGCGCGGTCATGCTGAGCGGTCCCCGTATCGCGTGCTGACGCCGCCATTGACGTATTTATGACTCTGCTCGCGGCTCCGCGACGCGCCGCGGCTGAAGGGGCTAGGCCTCGCTCGGCCCCGCGCCTTACCTTTTATACGACCACACCCTTCCCTTTTTTGCGACATATATCGGCCGCCCTGAGAGAGAAGGAGAGAGAGAAGAGAAGAGAGAGAGAGCGGATATCTGTCTCCCTGCTGCTATCTCTCTCTCTCTCTCTCTCTCTCTCTCTCTCCTCTCTCTCTCTCTCTCTCTCTCTCTCTCTCTCCCTCCCTCCCTTTTGTCGTATTTTTTCCCCCGCGTCGTTTACCTGGGAGGGTGTTACCCCTTCCCCTCCCCTCCCTGGCTCCAGGATGGGCCGCCGCCGCGTCGCCGCCGGCTGCGCCGCAGACTGGGTCGCTCTCTCGCACCTGTACGGGACGCCCCGTGAGTGCGAGAGAGACAGAGCGACGACTCTCGGAATCAGTCTGCGGCGCAAGGCCGAGCGGTGCCGGCTGGAGGAAGCCGTGGACTCCGTCATCGCGC